ATCTCTCTGCTCAACATGCTGGCTCCTCTCCTGGTCTAACGTGGCGTTCAGCTCCTTTAGTTTCCTCTCCATTCGTCTCTGAGAACCCTGGATGCTGGTCTTCTCTCTGTATGGAGAAATTCAGAATATACAGTTAGAACAATGCAATACTTTGATTGACTTATTATTATTAATTCATATGTTTTACTGATGGGTTGAATGCTGGGTCCTCAGAATGTGATGTTGCTCTTTGTGACTGTGTATATATATATATATATACACAGTAGATGCAGGCTTGCAGTCATATGTAATGCCTGATGAGGGTTGCTTTACCAGAAAGTAGCATTTCCGTGTCGATAGTGTGCAGTTGCTGGCTGATTACTTAGACTCATAATAAATATATCACAAAAATAGGACTTCATATTTACAGTGTGTTCAGTCATACCTTTCTTCACTGCGGAGCCTCTCCTCCAACTCCTGAATTTTGTTTTCCAGCAGGGTTAATCCAGCTGAGGGCCGAGCCTGTCCCTCCATGTCTGCAACACGAGACTTCAACTCCTTCATCTGGGAGGAAAGTGGGACAGTGAGGTTGTTAAACCACCGATTTAGCAAAAAAGCTGTTTGAATGAATGCTTTGAATGTGAATTTGTGTGCATGTGCAGGCACTGGATGAATGAACAGTACCTGTCTCTCAATTAAGCTTTTGTCCATTTCCAGGTCATGTCTGGCCGAACGCTCCTGCATCAGCTCTGAACGAAGCTGGTCCACCTGAGAGGATAACGTGAGATAGGAGAGAAGAATGAAGAGACAGTGTAAGTAAATCTGTTATCAGATATACCATGACATAGAAATGCCTCCCTCTGGTTATTTGCATGTGTATTCAAATATTTTTATGCGGCACCTGATCTCTGCTACGTGTGATGCGGTCGTTCAGAAGCTCCACGCTGCTCCTCTCCTCATCCAGTTCGATCTCGATCGTTTTCATTTTATCCTGTGAACACAAACAGATACATATATTCTGTAACATGTTTCTTTTTTTGTGCTTACTCTGTTTGCTGACACCTCACTGCATCCCTGATTTACTCCCACCCAACTTTAGATTCCCCAGTTCATGAACTTTGACCCTGCAGGCTCACCTCCAGGGCCCTGATCTCCCTCGTGCGGTCAGTGTGGGTGCTCTTCTCTGTTTCTAGTTCGCTCTCTAAGTGTTTGAGACGGTTGTTGAGGAGGTCTCTTTCCAACTGGGCACTGTCTCTCTCCTCGCTGCACACCAGCAGCTCCTTCTTCAGACGGGAAACCTGAAAACAAGAAGGAGGGGACAACAATGCATGAATTTTACTTGAAGTCCACTCAGTTTCATGCAGTTTCTTGATTCAGTTTCTTCTTCGAAATCTCCCCAACATTAACTTATATCTGCATGCTCTTTCTCCTTACAGCCCTGTAACACTGAAAAACTTAATTACACGCTCACACAAATCAGCAAAAATGTATCACATAGAAATATTTTGCAAATAGCTTGTCACCTTACACCATATAGCCTAAAAATTTCTGCAAAATCATTTTAAAGGCAATACAAAGTAAATAAAAAGTAAATACAATTGGCTTAAGTTAAGTTTCCAATGCTAGAAGTTACTGTAGATGTTAGATGCATAGTATAGTGACATACTATGTGACTTTATGAGACTGTGCTTAAGCATCATGTTGATTTGAACTAAATGCTTTTAACAGCAAGCTAACATGCTCACAGTGACAATGCTTATAGCAGTAAATAGTAAGCTATGTTAGCATGCAAATCTAAAATACACACAAAGGAATGTCTTTATTTTGCAGATTTTTGGTCATTAACCAAAATATTTGACAAATATTTCAGTCTGAACCAACCCAACTGACATTGTCATTTTGTCATCCCTAAAAAGCATTTAAAAGGCCTTAACAGGTAAAGACAAACAAGCAAAAAGTTAAGTTATTTATTGTTGGAGTGATCTAGTATATTAAAGAACATGAAATACAAAAAAAAAAAAAAAAATCAAACTTCCCTTCCTTCACTAATCCTTTCTATTTTTCAATCCGTTCATCCTCACCTCGTCCTGCTGGACCTTGAGATTGCTCTGCGCCCTCTGAAGCTCAACCAGCCTCTCCTTGCTGTTGCGCTGGGCTTCCTGCAGGTCCTTCCTTGAGCGCTCCCTGTAGTCCTCCAGTTGTGCTTGCAGGGCGACCACCGACTGACGAGAATCTCCCATCATCAACTCCATCTGACAGAAAGAGAGAAATGGTGGTGGGCGACAATATCTCTACACATCAGCAAGCCAAGACATTGCTCTAACCCTAACAAACTCACGCACCTCTTTATTTATCTTCTCCAGGGCTCGGTCCAGCAGCCTCTTCTGCTCCTCCAGGTCACTCTTGCCCCTCCTCAGCGCCTCCCTCTCCAGGTCTCTCTCCTCCAGCCGCCGGGTCAACTCGTCCCTCTCCTTGCTCAGGCGGGTGGCTCCTCTCTTGGCCTCCTCCAGCTGAGTCTTCAGGGAGCGGTTCTCACCCTCCAGAGCTTCCACCGCCTCCTCAGCATCTGAGCTCTGCGGCGCACTGGAGTGAAGCCTTGTCTGGAGAATGAGAAAAGAACAATATTTACCACACAGCAAACCTGTTTGTCTTTTCACTCTGTATTGTTTTAGTGACAAATAATAAAGGGCTTTTCATTCAAAGTACAGTTAAACTTTACTGGTCGCTGCATACAAACTGGGAGGCTTTGCTCCGTATCCTTGACCTCTGTGGAGTTGTACTGGCTTTGCACCTACACCGATTTTTTGTCTAGGTTGTTCTCATGATCATTTTACATCAAAAGTAACAACATTGTAGCACTTAAAACAGCTGTAATACGTTGCAGATCCAACGCATACAGAGCACAACGCGCATATTATGTAAATTCATCTTCAGGGATTATTTTCTGAGCTTACATGTTTGAGTTTTTCTTTGGATCTAATTTATTTCACATTTCTCAGTTGAAAATAGAGTCTGCGTGGGAGGCCATTTCTTTTGTTCTTGTACAGTATGTCTGTTTGGATGATTTTGCATACGTTTGTGTGTACAGCTGTGTGTGTTTTTGTGTGTAGTACCATGCGGGCCAGCCTCTCTCTGAGGCGAGTGTTCGCTTCCTGGAGCTCCAGGTTGGGGCCGTGGTCCACCTCAGTCTTTCCTGAAGACACAACTGATGACTGTAGAGAGGAATGGATGAACGATATTATAAAAACCTGAACTTTTCATACATTAAATTCATCTCAAACGTGCTTGAGGTGTCTTTTTTGTAAAAACTGTCACTTCTTTTCTATAGATTCACCTCCTTTGCCTTCTCGAGTGCCTTTTCCAGCTCGTCTTTGTCTTTCTGCGACTGCTCCTTCAACCTGCTAATCTCGGACAGAAGCTTTGCCTCTTTCTCTCCGCTCGCTTTCTTCAGGGCTTGAAGTGCCTCCCTCTGCTCGTCTAACTCGCCGTTTTGTTTGTCCAGATCAGCGCGAGCCCGCTTCAGATCATCATGGCAACGCTGAAGCTCCTTGGGATAAGCAATCAGAGATGAATAATGTGTGTGTGAGAAAGAGGAATGTGCCAGGGTGCGAACAATGTGTTAATATGAGTATGGGGCATTCAAGTGTGCATTTGTGTATGTGTGCGTGCAAGAAAAATGAATGAAATTACTGAAGCTTCAGCCACAGGAAAAACCAACGGCTGTGACAGATTAAAAAGAATAAACACACTGTAAAACAGAGGAGATCAGTGCCTGCATTTCACCCACACAGTGAACATAATCTGCGTTCTGCCTCGTGACTGACATGTGAATTACCTCTGCTGAGGAACCGTTATCACTAGGTGCAGGCATTTGTTTCTTCATGGCGAGGAGTGAATCCTGAAGATCCTTCAGCTCGCTCTCAAATTCTTCCTTCTCCAAACGTGATTTCAGCAGCCTACGGAAAGAAAGTAGATGTTAAAGAACACATAGTGGTAACAGAGGCTCTATAAACTATTTACACACACACACACACAGACACTACAAGGCCATAAGCAAACATGTACACACACCAGAGATAGCAGTGACAAACGACAAAGAAAGCAAAAAGGGAGTAACACTACTGCACCAAACTACTTGTATCTTAAACTTAGATGCATCCCTTTCTCATTTATTCAAAATTAATTGTTTATTCGCAATTAAATCAACAAATGTCTCCTTTAGATTGGATGATTGAAAAAAAGACTGATCAATATAACAAATCAGTTAAGTCCATTTCTGTTGATTTGGATGTTGATTCATTTGAAAGGTTTGATATGATTGGGTTTATCATGGCTGGATTAATGTTAGAAAGGGTTAACTGATCTGATGATCAAAAACATCAGATACAAAATCCACTTTGATATGTGAGCTTTTCAGGGAGGGATTTTCAGGGAACATATTTCAAGTTCAGATTTGCTGATTTGAAACTAGGCTAAACCTACTCAAACCAAACACAGTGAGATTGATTTTCTCTCTCACATTGGACTGCTGACGTGCTTCCCGCTCCTGCCAAAGTAAAAGTCAAGCGAAAGAGTGCATGCATTAAAAATAACTCAAGAGAAATGTAATATTGTAGTTCTGAACCAAAAATAGTACCTTCAGTATTTCCACGTAGACTATAGTTTTACAGAACCCAAGTTTTAAGAGAGCACTTTAAAAGTCTTTTAACTAATTCTCCTGACTATACGAATATCAAATATGACTTTTACAAGACAATAAAGAGTAGCTGTGAATTTTAATGCCAGTTTCCAGAGATACGGTAGCCTTGCTGCTGATGGGTCTGTTTGCCTTTTTATGGATGCAAAGTAATGCCATGGCTCCGTAATCAGTTTAGTTCAGCATGAGAGCTTAGAGAAATATAAGCTTCCATCTGAGGTCTTTAAAAATTACTACTGATTTATCCACATATTCATGGTCTTTGACAATACTTAATGCTTATGTAGTGTTTTTTTTCAAGCCTTTGAAGTTAGATATGGAAAGAAGATAAGGTGTGTGTATTCAAAGCCCACAATTGATTCATAAAATTTAGAGAGGCTTCTGATGAGAGTAGCATCTATACAAAAAGTCACAAAATGCAGTAGTAAATGGTGTCATATCAGCACAAAGTATTTCTATTTTTCGTGTCATTTGTGGTAACAGGCTTACAAATGTGGTCGTTGATATTTGTTAAGGTGCCATCGTTTCATATGTGGTGAAATAAAGAACATTGCACAAACATACAACATATAGACACTAACTCCTGTGTGGTGTTGTCCAGCTCCTGTGTGGTGGCCTCCAGCTGCGTCTTCCACTGCTCTCCCTGATCTCTGCAGCTCTCCAGTTCTTCCTCCAGGGTCAGTATGGAGGCATTCACCCTCTCCCTCTCCTCTTCTATCTGGTCCTGGGACTGAAACATAGCCACACACACACAAAAAAATCATATAACGAGTGGTGGGAGTCCGTGTGTAAAAGGTTCACACTCCCAAATCTATCACATTCTTTTTAGTTCAGTTTCTCTTTGAAACACATGTTCAGCACTGGGGAACAGAAAAACAGAGATCTTTGGGCTTATGCCTCCATCAGCGTGTCTTCAACCTCTACTTCTACATAAAAAATAACACCAGAAAATATCAGACAAGATGGAGCCTGATCCGACTACTTTAATCCTCCTCTCGCCAAATAAATCACAGCATCAAAAGCAGCTGCCAGCCTGTCTGGTTATTTCCGGCTCTCTGGCTGCATTTTTCTTTTTTCCTGACACTGCTGTTACTGTTTCCCAAATTCAAAATGCATAATGATCTATTCCTGTATATACCTACAGTATATGCTTCAACTTCCTCTACACCACATCCTACAGTGCAGCACTACAAAAACAGTCCACTGGCGGAAACAGAAACTCTACAATAGAAATTCAACTGGAAAAGTTTTACATTGCAATCACAAGAAGCAAAATTCTCTTTTCTAACTCTGCACACTGTGCTTAGCCCAACCTTATAAAACCCTGACTCCGTGTTTGAACACTGAGTCAGGGTTTCCTGTGGCTTCATAAAAAAGAATGACAAGACAAAGCCTGGATGTATAATTGAGGCGGATGCAAGATCAAAGCACAATTTAACATCGCCTTCATAATAATGCATGCAGTATGTACAAACTGCCTGACAGGTATAACCTGAATGTTCTGCCACTACATCTGTACAAAGAGATCTTCTGAAAAGAAAAAGTGTTATATTTCTGTCTCAAGAGTTCATTAAAATAAAAGAAAATGTTTTAGTGATCAGAAACTAAGAAGAAACATGATTGCTGCATTGCAGGTTTTGCTGTAGCCGTCAAAGAGATTGTTAATGCGTCCTGGGTAATTGACTCTGCAGGCTGTAGTTTGACACTGAAACTATAACGAGAATAATCACATAAAAAAAGAAGTGAAAATGTGTGTTAGTGTGCAAGTTCATGTTGAATTCTAACACAAGTATCAAAAGCTAAAAATAAAACTCCTATTTTTCACCAAAACTGTTGAGAAATAAATCTAGCACACTGTGCTCACTTTCTTAAATTTATAAAGTGAGAATTTTCTGGTCAGTTTGTGATCCGAAGCGCCTGTCTACAAGACTTTCTGGAGTGCAAGAACTTTGTAGTAAAGAGAAAGAAAGAAATGTGCTAACAGATTTTCTCAAAGACACATAAAATGGAGCTTTTAGCTGACCCATTCTTTTTTAAGAGACGTTTATTAGCGTCCTGCTTGTTCTTTGTTCAGTTTATTGAGTCACTAGTGTTGGTTCAGTGACATCAGAGTTACTTAACCTTGTTTTAGTTTTACTGAACAAGTTACTCTCACTGAGATTAGAATCTCTTTTTTTCAGGGCTCATCTGGTCAAAAACAGACCGGGACATCCTACATCAAAGTAACTGCACATGTAGAGAGAAAAGTCAATATTCAGACGCATAAGGCAGCTGATAATCACACAGAGATCACAGAACTCACATCAAACCACCTGAACATTCTATAGTGTTGAATCTCTCTTTTACTAATCAATATTCTTGTTGTGTACCATTAGCTGGATATGAGAAGAGACAGTTTTCAAAGTCCCTTGGATTTTCCTTTTTTCAGCTGCAGTTTTTAGTCCTTTTATCTCTGTCCTCAGTGTTATATGTTCAGTTAACCACTACTGCACTACATTTCAAACCCCACAGCTGCTCTAACTTATGGGCAACAAAACAAGATAGCGTCCTCCACCTGTGTGACCTGCTCCATCGTTGTTCTCAGTTTCTCCATCTCCTGGCCGTACTGCTCCCTCAAGGCCTCCATCTCTCTGTCATGGCACTCCACCTCCTCCTTTAGCGCCCCCTTCAGGGCCGTCAGCTCTCGCTCCCGCTGGTGTAGAATGTCCTCCTGGCGATGGCGTAGCATGTTGGCCTCAGCCAGGTCTGCCTGCAGGGCGATCACATCCTGCAGAAAGAAAGACAGAGACAGTCAGACAGACAAGTAGAGGAGCAGTAAAATTTTATTTTGCGTGTCTGTGTGTGTAGGCTTTAATATATGTGAATGTAAGTACCGTCTGCAGTGAGTCTGAGTGAGGTGAGTTTTCTGAAACCCTCCTCAGCTCCTCCTGAAGCTCAGCCAGCTGATCTTCCTGTAGGCGCAGACGAGACTCTGCCACCTCTCTGGCCATACGCTCCTCGGCAAGTCTACACACACGGAAATACATTATTAATATTGCAATGCCAAACTCATTAACGAGCACATCACTCAGGCAATAGTGAAATGATCCTCTGACCAAAAATGCCACAGCAGCAATAACTGGAAGCATATTGTTGGCTGTTAAGGGCACACACTATACATGCAAAACCACACACACACACAGACACACAGACACACGCCCTTACTCATCATGGGCCTGCTGCAGCTCTTTCTTGTAGCGATTGAGTTGCTCCTGAAGCTCCTCGAGGTTCCCCTTTTTGAAGCTCCCACCAGATTCTCCCTAGTGTACCAAATACACACACACACACACACACACACACACAGAGAAAGAAAGTGTGTGAGAGAGATTGAGGGTGAGACACAGATAAAGAAGACAAAGACAGTACAAAGACAGAGAGAGGAGGACTGAAGACTTTGTAAAGTGTCACTCTCGACCTTGCAAATACATTATGCCCTCTGTATCATCTGAAACTTTAAAAGAAAGAAACCCTGCTTTGGATTCTTTGCCCTAGTTTCTGACAGTCAAAAAAATCTTTGGGAGTGCGCTAAGACATTGTCAAAAGAGACAGCCTCGCCACATTAACAACACTTTCTGAAAGGCTGCAGGGGAGCGGATCCGGAGCGTCGTTGCCCACACCGCTCCGCCATTCGTCAAGCCTCCCTCTTGCTGAAAATGAGGTATAAACGCAGCCTCTGCCCATGAAACCTCTCTTATCTTCCCACGCACTCATTACAGAGACGCACACACAGAAGCAGAAGAGAGAGACAAAGCGAGGATCACGGACGGTTGTGCTCCTCGGGAGACCTCTCTTTGCTGTTACTTATCAGTGATGGATTATGAAGATGTATGTTGTACAGATTTTTTTCATTTTCTTCTCGTTGCCTGCAGGACAGTTTGTAGATAATCCCGTTCTGGGACATTTCAGCTTCTCGCTGTCCTCACAAAGAGATATAATTAACAGAAGATAACATAATTGGGAAAAGTTCTTTTGAGGACTTTGAATGAATTGCATCAGCCGTATCTTTGTGTGTATTAATCACCCACAATAACAGTCCTGCCCTGCTTAATGCATTAGTAGTCTTAACACAAACACATATTAGAGGATGATGTGATCACATAATGCAAAGGAAATTTAATTAAAGCCTGCTCTAAAATAATAGCTGATTTGGTCTTGATCCAAGGGCTCTCTAGATAAATCTGAGGGGTCATGAGATGCTTGAAAGAATAGTGAAGCAGAAAAGAAATTTGGTTTATTTTTAGACATTTTTCTTACCTTTGCTTTTTTACCCTAAAGAATTACTGGATAATTTTACTGCTTCGGGGCCCTAACAAGTAGAGACTCAGAAAGGGAGAGGAGAAGATTGTTCCAAAGGGTTTTTTTTACCCTTTATTCTTATTTTCTATAAAAAAAATATCCTTAGTGTAACACTGGACTCTCCAAAATAATGTAACAACCACGGGGGATTATGTTATGCCCACAAATTTTAACTATCTCAGCTTTGTTTATGAGAAAACGCTAGTCTAACGTTAGGTCAGTTTTCCATGGTGTACGGGTCAAAATACTATAATACACATGAGCTTCAGCTGCCGTTGCTATGGAGAAGATGCCAGTTGGAGATGCGAATCACAGCATTTCTAAAATCAGTTTCTCATAATTCTTCCACTCCCTGTTAACATAATTGTAAGCACAATTGTTGGATGTTTCTTGCCGAAATGCATCTTGGGAGACGTAGTTAACTTTAGTTTTAACCTAGTAACTAGTTTTTAATTGCACTTCAACATTTCATCAAAGAACCAGATATTTTCTAACGCAACTGTTGATCTTCTCTACTGATATTTTTACTGGGCGAGTTTCATGCTGATTCAAGTTCCAAATGTACGTCACATGACATTGTCCATGCAAAAATTAAATAGGGAGACTTTTATTTACGGAGCCAGAAGCAACCAAAATATCTCCTCCTAAAATCTATTCAAATAAAACAACCTGTAAACATATGCAACCTGTTGCAAGAAGACATAGCTTTGTGTTTAAGGGGTGAACGAGTGCTTAAGTCCTTCGAGACTGATTGTGCTCACTCTCTACACAAACACACACGTATATCACTATCTTAAATGAAGGTAACCCAACACACCAGCATCTGATCCTCAATTAACCAGGTGAACAAACAGGGCGTGAGTACATTAACTCCATCACTCTCCCAGTGACACACATTACCTGGTAACACTGCATTAAATGAGTCAAAACATACCACAAGCACTTAGAAACAGCCTATGACATTAGTGACACAGAGGGAACGTGAACCATGCTTTACATTACACTTCAGTGAGTCAGTACACTTCCAAATGCAAAGAACTCTCTAAAATAAAAGGCTAGGCATGTAACAGTAGAATAATCTGGGTCTTGGTTGTATCTACACCCAAAACAATCTTTGGATGAGCCCTTTATAACACACACTCATTTGATCCAGCTCTGATCTTATATTTTGGCTTCATACAGACAAAAGCCAGTGTTTTGGTTTAGTGGCAGAGCTGGAGAATAAATAGCCTCAGGCAAAAACATCCTGCATGTTGATGCTGGCTGTGGATATTTCAGTAGCACTTCTGAAGAGTCTGAGATGACTGCTGGAGGACAAATTAGCCACTAAACCCACCAGAAAAGGGCCGCGTGGTTAGCATCATGAAAAACACAGCGGTTTTGTACAACAAGACTCCTTCGAGAAGGATCTGTCCCATCCGGCAAAGCCAACCCCCAGCTGGTGCAGGGTTCCAGTCCAACTCAATTATTGATGGCTCTCAATGACCGCGTCCTCAACACACACTGAGCCCTCAACAGCTTTCCTCTGCAGGTGCACCGTTGCCAAGAGACAAGACGGGCTAATAATTCACAGGCAGCCATGGTCACAAGTACATAACAAGGCATCATACATAATCAAGTACATGTAATATAAGAAGCTAAGGACACAAAGAATATCTTCTGTATGTAGATTTATGCAAAGGGTTGCAAATTAAGAGGAAGTAGTGCGCTCATAAAAACCATGGCAATCTATTTTAATAAGGTGTCACAGGAGCACAAAGGAGCAAAGATGGCACCAAAATTGACAGAGGAATACACAGCATGCTGCTTAATTTTCGCATGTTTTGGTCTGCCAAAAGAGGATCCTTGGAGACAAAGTGAAAGAAATAGAAACTTCATATCCTCAGAAAAGAGGACAGGCTGCCAACCATCTGTTAGCTCCATTACAAGAGCTGCTCTGTTGAGAAGAAGACTCATTCCAGACACCACTACTTTCCAACCATTTGTTTGACCAACATGCTGAAACTGCAAACCACAACAACTAATTGGATTACGTGTTATTATAAATTTGTGCAATGCTGGGATTTTTATTAATAGGAAAGACTGTAGGTTGGAAAACTGAATTAATTATGCTTTTAAGCAACTACTGCCACACTAGTTCAATTAAAATCACACAGCAGTTGTATTCAAATAAACTATGTCTCAAGGTTTGCACTAAAGATCTGGTCTATAATCAGGTTTTAAAGAAAAAGTTCGACATTTTGTGAAATACGCTTATTCGCCTTCTTTCTGAGAGTTAGATAAGAAGATCAATACCACTCTCAGGTCTGTATGCTAAATATGAAGCTACAGCTAGCAGCCGGCTTAGCTTAGCTTAGTGCATGTTAAGAGGCTGTAGCAGGCTGATTTTACTACCTTTAAACAGAGTCAGGCTAGCTGTTTCCACCTGTTTCCAGTCTTTATGCTAAGCTAAGCTAACAAGCTGCTGGTTGTACCACATTTTTACCTTATAGACACGAGAGTTGTATCAATCTTTTTTATTTAACTCTCTGTGAATGGAACTGCTTCATTTACTTTATGTGGTCAAATGAACATGAGCTTTTTGTCGTACCTTAAAACCGCCGGTTGTGTCATAGACGAGGTCGACCTTTGTTTTGAGGGTTCCCTCACTCTCACTGGTGCTAATCAGGTGGAAAAAACAGAGGTCAGAGGGGTTAGATTGGAAGAACACATGCATCCATACAGTAACAGTGACTCCAGCCATTCATTGTATGCGTGTAGGTTATTTACCCATCTTTAAGGATGTTGAAAATAGCTTGCTTAACTTGAGTTTCCTCCCCATTGAAGACCTCTTTGCTTTGACTCAGGCTCCTTGGAAGTATCTCCTTTAAATAAAGAGTAAGCAAAGTAAGACACAAAACAAAGAGACAATTTAATACAAGCAAATAACTCCTAACCTCACAATCACTCCTACTTACAGGCTTCTTTGCCACAGCTGGAGTGGTGTCCTTGGCAACAAACTTCCCTGGTGACTTAAAGCTCGGCTTGGGAGCCTCGAGTGCTGTCACCTTGGTAACGGATGCAGGGCTCCTTCCTAGGCTGCTGCTTGCTGGGGCAGATGACGTCAACAAATTGGAGGAGGCAGACAGGGGAGTAGCGTAGGGATTCGGAGTCGGGGAGCTGGGAGAGGGAAGGGAAACCTCAGACTGAACATCTTTTCTAGCATCAAGACTCCTGGACCGTCTGCGCTCATCAAACCTGAGCCGCTGCCTCGCTCCGGAGCGGCCCCTCGCCTGTGGGGCGCTGCCTGGCGTCCCACTGTTAAACTTATTAATGAGCTTGTTGATGGGAGCCAAGGAGTTGGTGTCGATTGCTGGGACGGGCTCGTCATCAGTTGATGCTGGAGGTGGAGGCTCCGAAGGGGTATTTCTACCCAGTTTTTTCCCGCTGTATCTCCCCAAAGAGCCAGAGAAACCAGAGCCATTTTGCTGGAACCCTCTTGGTCCCACAGCGTTTAGTTTGACAGGTTTCAGCCCTGCTTCATTATACTCATCCTTACTAGTCCAATCTTTGTTTTCATCTGCGTCACTGGCTTTTGCTTTGAGTTGGGGTACAGCTTTCGACCTCTCTGCCGGTCTTTCTCTGCCAGTTCCACCCTCCTCCTCCCCTTGTGTTCCTGCTTGACCGTCCCCAGGAGGTCTTTTGAGAGGGCTCCCAAAAATCTCCCCATCTTCATCCTCGGCCGCAGAAACAGGGGAGCGTGATGTACTTACAGCAGGGCTATAGGGGTTTGTGATTTCTGCCGGTTCTTTATTTACTTTGGGGAGGCTGTTGCAAGGTGAAGGTGGGCCTGAGCTGGGGGTGGGAGTGTTCAGCTGAACTCCGTAAGAGTCCCCTTTCTCGCCATCTTTCAGGACCACATAAGGCTGCCCAGAGATACCCTGAACCCGCACTGCCACCCCATACTTATTGGAAGGAGGAGTTGCAGTGTTGTTTCCTTTGGACTTATCAGGATAACCTCCACCTGTGTCATGGAGGTCCTTGATGAAGCGGATCTGAACGCCATAATCCACAAGAGGCTTCCTGTCAGTGGAGAGAGTGCTCATGTTGACTTCCTGGTTTCTGTTCAAACAGCCTGGGCGGACAGGGACGGGAAACAGCAGAAATGCAAATCATGTGAATCAGTGGAACAAGTTTTGAAAGCAATGAGAACTCTGGACATGAAATTCCCTTTAAAAAAACAGCTGCTGCTGTTAGGATGCACTGTTAAGATGTGCCTCAGTCCTTCTGGTTTTGCTGTTTTCGGGTTTAACAAAAATGAATCACTCCCTCAGATGTCCCCTTTTAACCTGCATGTGTCCCTTTGTATTACAGCAGTTTTCTTGGCTTTTGTATAGATTTTCCACTTCTTCCTACATGGAGTTACTGTGACTCGGCTAACATATCAGCTTACTGGTATATCTTGATGAAGCAGACATCTTCTCTGGCTGCTCTACAGGTTTAATTCTTTCTCCACCAGAATGAATTGTATTCATGCCATGTGAAATATGCCACTGGGGCACTGAGAAACTCTTTGTAAGGGTTGAGGCCTACTTTTTCAAGAGGGTGTGCTCTGAAGACAGAGAAAACAGAGAGCAGGAGTGTGAACGGGTGTGTGTGAGACACACAAACACACTGAAGTAATCGATATGTAGCCTCTAGTTTACAGAGGCATGCTGACTGTGTCGACGTTTTCACCCAGTCATTATTAAAGAGGCAAAAATGGACTTCGACTCATTCATTGAGTTTTTAGTATTTTGTATCAGATATTCAAACAAATGGAAAGCAGAGAGGGAGAGAGAAATCTAAATGTCGTTTTGACTTTGATATTGGGAAAACAAGGAACAAGGACCCTACTGTATGGGTGTGTAGCTGTTTGACTTGACATGGTGGGTATATTTGCACTTCTAGTGGCCAGTAACAAATAACAAAAAACCCTGATACTGACAGAGAAACACTTGTAAATAATGTGTTAAAGGGGAATTCCACTGGTTTTACACATAAAGGTCAGTTTGTCAGTTCAACAGTGTTAGCGAACACTGAGCCGTAAAGGGTGAGAAAATAACCCTGATGATGTAATCAGTGGTTGTTTTCTCAGATTGGCTTCACATTTATAACAGAAAGCTTG